TCCCTACGTCCCCTCTTATGCAGAGATCAGAAGGCAAGATCCTTTGTCTAAAAATCCTCAAGTAAGGAACATTTTCTTACCACGAAAACACAAGGGGAGTACAGGTAGAGGCAGAAAGTGTAATCAGAAAGAAAGATGTCAAGCGGTCATTGCAAAAGGAGAAGGTACTCACAGCTCCTCCTTTCCATCTACTCTACACTATAACTGCAGTGACTCTGCAGTTCCTGGCTGCACTGGTGACTTGTCAGTGGGGAAGCCTGAAAACCAACCGCTTCCAACAGCGCTTACCTTTTTCCTTTGCCATCTTCCTCTGATTCTTATACTGCAAAGCAGGATGAGTGAGGTTCCAAGTTTACCATATGAATGTGTGTCCTTTGTCTTCTCCCTCAATCCTATCAGTCTATAAACACCCATAACTGACAGCAACTCCCCAACACCACCAACATGTTGCTTACACACATGGAGATCACATAAGCACATACAAAGAGGGTGTTTTCTCTCTGTAACTGCCCTTCTCCTCGGCTCATTCCGTTTCCTACAGCACGTGCATTCCCAAGCACATACCTACAGACTGCGTTTTGGTTTTCACCACACAAAGAAAATAATCTCAACATTGCAGTAGGCATCACATTCCTCTGAAGGAGATAATTTTATTGATGTAGTCTGATAAATCTGCTTTCTTTGAGCAAGCAGAGTTGCTTTGTGTGTGGTTCTTTTTGGTACGCTGGCACATGGTATATAACAGCAGATCAATATTTGAAAGGATCACTCTGCTGTGTTATTTATAAACAATGTGAACATCTTCATTGATATTTTGCTCAATTGCTTCAAAATACTTAATCAAGAATTGCAAAACTGACTCCAGAGAATATTTGCAAAGTTTATTTGTTCTGGCCTCATGTTAAAACTTCCCAGCAGTTGAACTCAGGTGCTGATCTTCTACTTCGATGTCTAACTAACACAGGATCTCTCTCTGCACCCTCTTCTTAGCTCCCTTTATTAACAGAGGAAATTTATAACTAGTATCAGAGTAGGACTGGAGAAAATAGAGGACAAGTAAAAAGGGGG